CGTGTCGAAAACCATGTGGTGTGCAGTGTTGGCAGCGCTGTTCTTCTCAGCACTGATGGGTGCTGGGACCAACGGACGGCAGGGCGTGAACATGTTCATCGCACCATGGGGGAACGCACCAGAGAGGTCGCAACGGAATGCACCATTTAAGGTATTGATGGATTCCGGCACGTTTGATCACGTATGCAACGAAAAGTTCGCTCCTCATATTCCTCTTATCCCCTCCCAGGGGACGGCAGGAGTAACAGCATCAGGGCACAACATGACTCGCTTAGGACACAAGGACGTCCCGATCGTGATCCTAGAACACAATGGTGCGTCAGTCGTGTTGGTGGTGCGATTCGGCGTATTTAAAGAAGCATGCACAACTTTGATGAGCATCAACCGGCTAGCAAAACAAAAGAGCATACATTTTGCCTTCGACTCGAAGTCGTTATCGCTAACAGGCCCTAGCATACCAAACAAAATCGTCATCAAAGAACGGGGTTTTCTGTACCGAGCTGACTGCCGGTTTGCAGATCCAACTCATATTATGCCCATTGTGCAAAATCAATCGATTCAGTCGGCGGCTCTCAGACCTTTGGATGAACCGCCAGAGGAGCTCCTGAAGACAATCCCAGCGAAACTGTACACAGAAATCTGGGCGACCACCTCTGAGGGAGAACCTTATGTGGTAACGCCCGGAGCTCAAAAGGCTCGCGTGCCCATCGGACGCCTACCGCGCAAATTGTCGTATGACAAAGTTGCGCAGGAATTCCCATTGCGAATCACGTGGGTCAAATGGTCCAGACTTCCTTGGACCCTCTTGGAAAACCGCGTCGATTGGACCACAATGCAGAGACCAGAAGACGACATCATGCCAGGACGAACCATCACTTTGTTTGTCCGTCCAGATACACCAGCCTGCACAGAGAAGCAACGGTCACACGAAGAAAACAGAAACCCAACTGATGCTCAGCAGAGCCTCTCGGGAAGCGCACCCCAACAGGCAGGAGGATCAAGCGCGCAGTCTTCGAGCAAAACTGAGCCGCCAGCAGCGGTTCAAATACTTCCTCCAGGGACGCATGTGATTGATGATGTCACATATGTTTTAACTAATTTTCCAATCGGGTTTCTTTGTTTGGAGAACATGATGGACGGACGCAGGACAACCTGGGTCCAAATGTTGAAAGGTTCTGTGTGGAAACTTCTGGAAGATGACGTGTCGATAGCAGACCTGCATCACAAGTATGAGACGTTTGACCGCATTCCCTGGATGCAACATCAGCCGTTTCAGTCGATAACCATGTTTAGGCCCTCGAAGGTGCCACCAGCGTCACAGCCAGAGCAAGAGGAGGTCGACGAAGGAGAAAAGCCGTTGGCTCCCAGAATCCCCACTGGACCAACACTCAAAGAGCGGTTGGAGCACAATCTTACGCACATACCTTTCCGTGCTTGGTGCGAATTCTGCGTGCACGGGCGTGCCAAGCAATCTCCACACAAACATCCGGAAGAGTCCATTATCCCCATTGTTCAGATAGATTATTTCTTTTTGAAAACAGCGCACGACGCAGCAGTAATCACATGTGTATCAGTAATTGATGTCTTGAACGGCTATGGGGCGTGCACACAGGTCAAGGCCAAAGGGTCCTCTGACACACACGCGGTCGGATACATCGTGAAACATTTGGAGCACTCAGGGTTGAACGGAGAAATTATTTTGCAGACTGATTCGGAATCTTCTGTGAAGGACCTGGCCCGCGCAATCGCTAACAAGAGGCAGGTCGACGGCAGTTCTCCGAAAACTCATTTGAGGCAAACGCCAGTTGCATCCAAACAGTCTAACGGGACAGTTGAGCGCTTTCACCAATCTATCGAGGGTCTCGTTCGGACCCAGAAGCTGGCTCTTGAGGGCCATTACAATATGGTGCTCAAAAACACGAGCCTGCTCACGCCGTGGTTGATCAGACACTGCGGATGGCTGTACACACGGTACCAAAAACACAGCGACGGAAAAACATCCTTCGAGAGAACAAAAGGTCACTCATATCAAGCTTTTCGGTTATTTTGGCAAGAGTGCGGCAAGACACCGAATTTCAAAGCGTGCCACGAGGGAACCCAGGGCAATACACATTCTGCCGAATGCAAGCGTAGACGGCAGGAGTGGGAGTTGAAATACGCAGAGAAACGAAAACGAGAAGAAGAGGACACAGCAGAACAAGCAGCAGCCGACAAGAGCAGGAAGACAACGCACGACGCCAAGCATCGTGACGATGCCTCTGGCGACCGAGTGCAGGAAGACGGATCGTCACCGGACGACCGGCAACCAACTACGAAACGCAAGGCTGAAGAGGAACACCCGGAATCCCCAGGATCGAGAATTATGGCAATCATCCGACCGATTCTCAACATCGGAGAGGACCAGTACTTATGTGAAGAACCAGAACAGCACTCAACGGACCTCTGCCTGACCAATGAAGAATTGTTAAAACAATGGTGTGAAGGCGTCGAGTTCATCGACGGTCTCCCCAAAGAGTTGGTCGAACAAGGTATGTCCAAAGAAATGTGTAATTTAGACCACTTCAGAGTGTACTCTTGGTGGCGCGAAGATAAGGCTTTAAGTAAACCAATTGAAACAGGATGGGTACACAAGATGAAAGGGGACGAGGGGCTTGTGGCAAAAAATCTGAAAATCGCAAGTAACCGGGGCGACGTTTTCGCTGCAACGCCAACACCGATTGGCCTTCGCATTTTGCTAGCAATCGCCATGGCAGAGAAGCTGGTGGTATGCATTGGAGATTTTAGTGTTGCTTTTATGCATGCAGACATATCAGATGAGAATGTTTTCTGCCGCCCGCCAGAACCCTGGCGTTCTCGGTACCCCGGATGGGTTTGGAAGATGAACGAGGCCATGAATGGATTGAGAAAGGCACCGCAAAATTTCCAAGATTTCATTGCGAGCGTGTTAACAAACCATCTTGGTTTCAACCGTTGTTTGACCGACCCGCAGTTGTTTTGGAATAAGAAAACCGGAGTTCGTATTAGCATACACGTAGATGATCCCATTGCAGTAGGAGACAAACATAAGATTGATGAGTTTTTTGGACAGCTCGAAAAACATGTGTTGTTCAAGCTTGGTGATCGTTTTAATGACGAGGTTCCCACGAAGTACCTCGGGAGGATGTATGTAACACGTGACGGCGGTATCAACGTTTTCCTCACAGACAAGTATATTGATGACACATTGAACATATACAACATGTTGCATTGTACTCCCGTAAGCACACCAGGTGCGAAAGACACCCCTAATGTCAAGGGCTCTGTCGGGGAGGAGTTCGTGCTTTTAGATAAGGTCGAACACCACAAATACAGGTGTGCAGTTGGTAAATTACAATTCATCTGTCAGGAACGAGGAGACATCCAGTTTTCAGTCAAAGAGCTTGCGAGGCAACTCGCGTCGCCTACAAAAAGAGATGTCCGTAAGTTGAAGCACTTGTTGAGATATCTGAAGGGGACTAGAAACGAACATCTTCATCTTAGGTGCGATTCGATTTCCGACAAGGTAACTGTCTATGTTGACTCGGATTGGGCAGGGTGCCAGCAGACGAGAAAAAGCACATCTGCTGGAGTTGTCATGTGGGGCTCGTGCGTTCTCTGTAATTACAGCCGCACGCAGAGCGTGATCGCCCAATCCAGCGGCGAAGCCGAGCTATATGCCATAGCCTCCGGCGCCGCAGAGGCACTGCATGCGCAATCACTGATCAAAGAGTTGGGGTATGAGACCTCGGCCACTGTGAAATCAGACAGCAGCGCAGGCAAGGCCATAGCATCAAGACTAGGCGTAGGACGGTTGAAACATGTTGATATTAAGTTTTTACATGTACAACAACTTGTGCAAACAAAGCGTATCGATATCTCCAAAGTGACAACAACAGACAACATTTCAGACATTGGAACAAAATACCTTGACAAAACTAGGCTTTCTACGTTGAAGCGTAGGCTTGGTATCTACGCGTAGTCATAGCACGGAGGTGTGTTGGCTCAAGACTTTGATGGGCAGGAACACACTTGTTGTACATTTCGATACCATCACATGTTGCACCCAGATGTCGCGTACATTTACAAAGAATGTCCAGAATGCTTGCCACAATACTGCGCGGTTGTAAAGCGAAAGCAAGTGAACACTCGTGAAAAAGCCATGGACACCCTTTCGTTCAGGTTGAAACAGCACTTTGTGACTGATTCGAATCACAAGATGTCACATGATGCAACAGACGGCTTTGATCGCAGTATCAGGGTTTGCTATTGCAAGAGAGACTGGACCGAAATCCCACCAGAAAACGCATGGGTAGACAAACCACCTGTGCCGCCACCGCCTCCACCGAAACCGGCGGATCAGGCAGCAGAGCGCCATGTCAAAAGCAGGAGCCGCTCCGCGTCAAAGACAGCGAGCCCGAGTCGGAGCCGCAGCCGGGACAGTTCCAAGAAGGTCAAGCCTCCTCTGACCACTGAGCAAAGGGAACAAGACATCCTGAAGGATATTCGCATTGATGTGAACGAATTGAAGACGAGGTTCGGTGTGGCAGAGGTTCTCCGGATTGTGGCTGACCGGTTCGAGCGGGGAGATTTCTCTGAGTGAGACATGGGGTTAGCATATGCAACAAAAGATTGCCTCTGTGCCCCCGCAGACATCAGTTGAGCACTGGTATCCCTTTTAGTGGTTCTTTACTTCTTTGTGCCATTGTCAGTAAAAGTATGCTCTAGTACTGATTGTGGTACATACGCGTGCACTGTTTTAGGACAGCTCTGCCCCGATCTGTATATGCGTGCCAGATCTGAGGGGGGCTGTTACGATTCCTTCACCCGCAGCCGGCTTGAGCCTCGAGCCCAGGATAAATTCCTCCATATCGAAATCACCCGCTTATCTTTTCAGGAGGAGGAGGAGGAGGAGGAGGTAGACGCTGCTCGGAGCGAGAAACGCAGAAACGCAGAAACGCAGGAGGAGGAAGAGGTCTGGCAGCCTCCCCGTGTCGGTTCAGCGTCGGCGGCGGGAGGCTGCCCACGGACATCTTGTCGTCGAGGAGGCCCAGGCCGGGCACGCCCACCTCGCCCCGGTTCGCCCAGAAGGGGTCGGGCCGGTCCTCGCACCACAAGGTCGGCAGGCGCGCGGGAGAGAGAGAGAGAGGCCTCCCCAGGCCTGCTCGCGTCGCAGAGACATCAGGACGGCAAGTTTGTTCGCTGTGTTCCCCACCTCCAGCTATTGATCTTCCCACTCCTCCGCCGCATCCCCCACCCGGGGCACCAGGGACCCCCCAAGAGCCCCTGGGGAGGGGAGATGAAGAAGGAAGCGATACCTGAGCGAACAAGGAATGCAAGGGGTTGGCGGATGTGGCGTAAGCCTGTAGAATCTTTCGCTGTGTTCGGCCCGGGGGTGCCCTCGCCGGGCCCCGGGACCGTCAAGAAACGACTCAGGATAAAAACCGGCCCCGGGGAATGGGCCTGGACTTCCGGGGACGCCGTCCTGACAAAGAGTCAGGACGTCGCATGTCTGGGTCCGGGCTGTTGTTGTGAGCAGCGAACACATGGCGGGCCCTGGAAGCCCCGAGCCCACAGATGTTCGCATCCTGAGGGCACAGCTTGGACGTCCGGCAGCTTCTGCCGGCCTTCCGCAAGCCTTCCGCAAGCCTTCCGCGGGCGGAGCCGCCTCGTTGGATCTCCGCGAGCCTCCGCCGACCTCCCGCCGCCTTCCGCCACGGTAGCGGTGCCAACTCCCTCGACCCTCCACGGCAAGGGCCTGTTTGCTGGAGCGCGGCACGTCTGTGTCCGCGCCCTCGCGGTCTGGACTCCCGGCCGCGGCCCCGCGGAGACGCGGCCGCATTGGGTGCCTTCCACGCGGGGGGGGGACACCCGCAGACAGGAACACGCCCCGTGCCCACGGGGCCGCGGCTCCGGGGCCCGTGCCGCGAGGCCGTGGGCACGGATCTCTGTTTCCCGCTCACGCTGTTGGGGTCCGCGGGTGGGGGAACCGAGGTGCCCACACCGCCACTCCCTGGACTTTTCCGGGCGGTGCGTCCTGACAAGGATTTCGAAGCGACTCCAGCGGTGGCGACGAGGGCCTCCCAGTACTCGCCATCGCTCGGACGTCCATTTCCTGTGTTTTTTTGGTTTCGTGCGTGGTTTTTTCGCCAAGTGATCAAGGATGCTCCTCGATGGCCCTCGCCGAAAGAAACATGCACACGTCCGAGCGATGCCAAGAGTAGGCCCAGAAAGGGGAAGCGAGGGAAGGACCGCAGCAGGGGTACCTTTTCCTGCGAGCGTCGGGGGCCGGAGAGGAGGGAGGGGGGCAAACTTAGGCGCGCATGCCGGTGCTGGGGTAGAGGCCTCCCACACGGGGTCCGAGCAGATGAGGTCGGAGGATCGCGCTGCATCGTCGATGCATCGTCGATGCATCGGCGACGTCGGCGTCGAGAAAATCAGGCTCCACATCGAGTCGCATCGCCGATGCATCGGCGATGCATCGCCGCTGCATCGGCGATGCGGCGCGACCCTCGAGCCCCTTCGACTCCGACCCCACCTGGGAAGCCTACACAGCAGGCCCGTACCAAGGGGGCCAATCTTAGGTCGGGCACGTCCTCCTACAGCGGGATTTGGGGCGAAACATGAAAATAGTCAAGCCATATGCAAAAAACAAACAAAGAATACTAGAAACTCCTCCCCGGACCATCTCTGGACTCTTTGGGACTCTGCCTCCTGCGGGGGGACAGGCCCGACCTGAGCCTGTAGTCGCCAGGCCCGCACCAGGCGCCACTCCGGCGAGGGGCCACCCCTGCGCGCGGCCGAGTTCCGCCGAACCCTGCCGCGCGGCGGGGGCGCGCGCCGTCCCACCGGCCCCAGCTGCGCCGCCGCCTCGGGGGGGGGGGGAGAAGGGCCGGAGGAGGCGGTGCGGCCAAGACTCTGCTGGGGAGCGCGACGCGAACGTTTATGTTTTCGGCGTCTCGACATTGGGCTCAGGTCGGGCATGTCCCCCTACAGGCGGATTTTGGTCGAAAAAAGGAAGTAGCCCAAGCGTGCCCACAAGTAATAAAACACATCACAGACAAATCGTCCCCAGACTATTTTTGACTACTTCGGAATCTTCCTCCTGTAGAGGGACATGCCCGACTTAACATTTGGCGGAAGGGGGGGGAGGGGGGGGGGTCTGGCTCTGGACCCCTGCTTGAGGCGACTATTTGCAACAGTGCGTCCTATGGGGGAGACTCCACCTGCTAGAAATAGGCGCCCCGAAACAGCCAAGATCCACTCCATGAGGGGGGGAGGGGGTGCGAGGGCCCGCGCCGATCGGCAAAACAATGGATAAGAAAACGATCACGATGCGGGATGACGGCACAGAGAGATGATGCGGCCTCAACCTTCTGGTGTTCCAAGACCGCCGGAGAGAATTTCGAGGGTCAGAAAAATACCAGAGCTGACGGGTTTTCACGTGTCGGTCCCTGGGAGGCGATACTCGTTGCACACTTCGCCAGCGTGTCGGGCAAATACTGTTTCGATCATTTGCGGGGTGGTCGGAATGATGTCTGGGATGTTGTCCTGAAGTACGAGGGGAGCTTTTCAAACGAGCGTCCCACCCTCCGCCGGGGGGGAAGTGGCAATCGGAACCTGTCCAGGAAAGACAACCATCGGGAATCAGAGGTCCAGCCAACCTTGTCCGACGTCGCCATCCCGCCGATCAGGCGCCAGAGCACCCCTCGGAATGCGTACGCGCGCAGCCTAGCCCTGGAAGACAAACTACGAGTGACCGGCGCGATGCGGGCTCGAACGAGCAACGGTGCTTCCGTTCTCCCAGGAAGTTAAGCGGGTTCGTTCTGGTGGGGCTCCGAAGTCTGAAGCCGGCACGACCCCAAATAGGAGCCGCTGGTCTTCAAAGCAGTGGAGGGAAAAGCACGGCAACACATCGCACATCAGTTCCAAAAGGAATCACGGAGATGGCAAGCCAGCTCACAAGCAAGCCTGATTCGTCCCTCCGTCTCCTCCTCCCTCTTCCTCCTCGTCCTGGACCGCACACGGACCGCTAGAACCCCACCCACCCTAAAACCGCTCGTCATCGTCGTCCACCTCCTCCTGCTCCTCCTCCTGCTCCTCCTCCTCCTCCTCTTCCTCCTCCTCCTCCTCCTCCTCCTCCTCTGAGTATGCGTTCGCCGGGGCTACGGCCGGCGGGGTCAACGCTGCCACCCCCCCACACACTCCCTGCCGCGCGCCCCGCTCGCACGACCCCCTGGCAGATCTCATCAGACTCCTCCGGCAGAGGGGCAAACAAGTGGGGCCCCTTCGCTTTTGACCCCGCGTTCGCCCCTCCCCCCCCCCTTCTCCCCAATCTCGAAGCTGGCGTCCGGCCTGCTGGAGGCCCTGGGGGGTCCACTCCTGGTCTGTCCTCTCGAGCCCGGAGCGGAGCCCAGGGTTCCACTCTTTTGTCCATCTGGGGTCCTCCTCCTCCTCCTCCTCCTCCTCCTCCTCCTCCTCCTCCTCAGCATCGCTTCTTCTGCGTCTCCTCGGGCTTCCCTGCTCCTGGTCCCCAGCCGCTCTCCGACAGGCGGCGGCGTGCTGGGCTCGGGGGGTCCTCTTTGACGCCCGGGTTCTGACTCCTGCCGCAGGCGTGCCCGGGGCCGGGAGGGAGGGGAGAGAAGCCAGCGTTCCATAGAGGAGGGAAGAGGATGATCGGGGGGAGGGAGAACTGGGAGGGGGGGCGAGGGAGGGAGATACGGATCGAGGAACTTGGGGCCCGCCACCCCCGAGACGGCGGATGCTGGGCTCCGCGCTATGGCGTAATCTGACTGGCAAGAAGCGAAGACGGAACCGAGCTTGAAGCCAAACTACGCGGCCACTGGGGATTATACCTCCGCCGCCAAGAGTGCGCGGCTCCTCCAGAGGCTGGGGCCACCCCCGCGTCCACGACCGCTACCACGACCACGACCACCACTACCACCGCCACGACGACCACGGATATCATCACGACGAGCATCCCCGCGACCATTGCGCCTACCCTGTGGGCGTCAACTGATCGCCCCGCCCCACCCGCCTCTCCTGCCTCTTCCCAGCCGCCCCTTGCATGTAGACCGCCCTTCTTCTCCTCCTCATCGTCCTCCTTCCTCCCTCTCTCTATTCGCGCGCTGCAGCGAGAGTCCATCGTCTGGCCAAAGGGAGCTCGATGAAACGTGGTGTGAGCTCTGACGCTGCTGGCGTGCTGCCCCCTCCAGGGCCATGCTGGTGTCGTGAGCTACCGTCAGGACGCTCCACCTCCCCGAATGCAGGGGGCGGGTGGGGACCCACCGCGTCGAGATTCCTCGGGCGCGGACTCGCGCGTCGCATCGGCGGCGGTCTCAGCGCCCGATTTCCGCGCGCGGGTCCATGCGCGGCGCCAAGCAGCCTCCTCCCGCGACAGCGTAGCGCTCGCGCGCGCAGGGAAGGGCTCGCGCGCAGCGGGGGCGAGGTTCTCGGAACGCGAGTTCCCGCGCCCGGGCAGGCGCGCATCGCCGGGCAGCTCCTCGCGTGACTGAGCAGCGCTCGAACCTGCGGACGAGGACTCGCGCGTCGCGCCGCCCGCGGTCTCAGTCCAAGGCTTTCGCGCGGGGGGGTCGGCGCGCGGCGCCGAGCAGCTCCCTCGCGCGACCGGGCAGCGCTCGCGCGCGCAGGAGGAGAGGGGGCTCGCGCGCCGCGTCGGCGGTGTCCCCCCGGAGCGCGAGCTCACGCGCGGGGGACGTGCTCCTCCAAGGGCAGCCCCAGGAGGCCAGCTGGAGGGCCTATGGAAGCACATTGAGGCCACCCCTGGGCTCCTCCCAGGAAGCACCAGGAGGCCACTGGAGGCACCAGGAAGCACCGTGAGGCCAGCCCTGGGCTCCTCCCAGGAAGCCCCAGACAGCCCCGTGATGCCACCCCATGTGCTCCTCCCAGGGCCCCAGTAGGCCCGCCATGCAGCTTCCCCGCGCGAGTGGGCAGCGCTGGAGCGCGCGGGGGGGAAGGCCTGCGAGCCGCAGCGGCGGAATGATACTTGCAGCGCCGTGGCCTCGATCCGCGAAGCGGTGGCGCCTCGCCGCGCGACCGGACACGCGCGCGCGCGCTGATGTCCCTGCGGATGCGCCGCAGACGCGCCGCACTTGCGGGGCGCATCGCCGCGAGACCACCGCGCGGGGGGACTTGTGGGGGGTCTGCAGGAGAAGAAATGGAACTGCTGCGTTGGGGTCCGCCAAGCCGCGTTTCGGGCTCCTTGGGGGCTTTCTGCGGTGTCCTTGGATTGCCTGTGGCTCTCCAAGCTTTCTGGAGCCTCCTCTGGGGCCTTTCAGGCCTCCTGAAGCTTCCTGGGGCCTCCTGGCGCTTCCTAAGGCTTCCTGGAGCTCCCTGGAGCGTCTGGGAGCGCCTGGGGGCGTCTGGGGCGCTTGGAGGGCGGCTGGCGGCGCCTGGCAGCGCTTGAGTGCTCCTTGAGCCTTCTGGAGCCTTCTGGAGCGTCTGGGAGAGTCTGGGAGCGTCTGGGGGCGTTTGGGGGCGCTTCTGGAGAGCCTGGGGGCGCCAGGGGCTGCCTGGGAAGCACCTGGTGTTGCTGGTGAGCGCTTCGGCGCTCGTAGGGCGTCGGGGAACGCCTGAGCGCCTGGAAATCTGGGGGCTCCTGGGAGCGCCTGCGAGCGCCTTCGCCTGGAACCGCCGAGAAGCGTTTGGGCGCTCCTGGAGCGACTCGGAAGGCCTGGGAATATCTCAAGCGTCTGGGAGCGCCCGGGGCCGCCTTTTGAGCGCCTGGCGCTGCCTGGGAAAATTCGCGACCCCCTGGGGGCGTCTGGGAGCGTCCTGGGAGCGCCTGGGACCGCCTGCGGAGCGCCTGCGGAGCGCCTCGGGCCACTTGGGGGCGCGTGGGCGCTCCTGGAGCGCCGGGGAGCGCTGGGGAGCGCCTGGGAGCATCGCGGACTGTTGCATTTACCAAAGATCGCGGCCTCGGGGGCGCCTGTGGTATGTTTGTTTCCTCATTCTGGGCGAATGGTTGGCCAGGCGTCATTCGCCCTCTGGAACCTCGATTGATTGATGTTGAGCCTGTGGTGCCGGCGGGCGACTTCAGAGACCCCCCGCGACCCCCCAAACAGCGTTTCGATCCAGAGAGGGAGATATTAAACTGTGCTACGCACAAAAGGGGGAATGCGTGGCACGTTTTCAGCACCGTTCGGAGGCTGGCGAACTAACCCTCACCCGCCGGTGTAATGCATATGGCACTCTGCTGAACGCTCCTGCCACTAGCCGTTCGCTGCTTGACGATTGTCAAGACCGACGCTCGCTCCGGAGAGAGAGAGAGAGAGAGCTGGAAAAAAACAAGACAGCGAGAGAGAGAGAGAGAGAGACAGAGAGGGAACACAGAGACAGAGAGAGAGAGAGAGAGAGAACGAGATGGATAACGAGAAAGAGAGAGAGTGAGAGAGAGAGAGACAACAACGTATCTCTACACATATGTTTATAGGCATGTACACATAAATATAACATATATATATATATATGTAGATATATATATATATATATATATATATATATATTCCCACATGTTGAAAGAGACAGAGAGTGAGAGAGAGAGAGAGATAGATAGAGACAGAGAGAACAAATAAGAGAGAGAGAGAGAGACAGAGAGAGAAAGGGAGAGGGAGAGTGAAAGGGAGAGGGAGAGAAAGAGAGAGAAGGATCAATAAACGAAGCAATCAGGACAGGGCGGAGCAACAGGAGGCCCCCTCGCTCCCCGAGGCGCCCCCCCTGACAGCCCCCGCCCGGCAGGCGCGGCGCGCCTCGCCGTGTTCCCCCTCCGGTTCTGCGAGAGCGGCGGGCCCCGCCTCGTGAGGCAGCCGGGGCGGCGGCAGATCATCTGCGAGCCCTTGTTCACGGCCTTGCGCCCCGCCCGCTCTGCGCTCCCCCGCTCTCCCCTCCTCCCTCCCCCTCCTCCTAAGTGGCAACTACATCAATTTATTGATCCTCTCCTTCTCGCCTCCTACTCCTCCTCCTCTCCTCCTCTCCTGCTCTGCTCCTCCTCCTCCCTCCTCCTCCTCATCCTTGCCTCCTCCTTCATCATCCTCCTTCCCCCTTCCCACCTCCTCCCTCCTCAACCCTCCCTCCGCATCCTACCTCCTACTCCTTTCTCCTCCCCCTCCCCCCTCCTCTCCTCCTCCTCCCCCTCCCCCGCTGCCGCCTGGGCCCGCCTTCCCGACCCGCCCGTTCGGGTCTACCCGCCCGATCTGCCCAAATTGTTCTGGCACGTTTTTTCTGCTCCTGGCCCCCCTCCCGCTGCTTTCTCTCTCTCTCTCTCGAGTTCCGTCCTCTCCCCTCCCCTTTTCCCTTTTCCCTTCCTTCCATCCGTCCTCCTTTCTCCTGCCTAGGGGGCTGCACGAAATACACGTTGCAGGTAAGAGAGATATGCCCCTGAGGGGGTATGATCGAAAACGAAGAGGGCGGGTATCGAGGGTTTGGGATCTACGTGATCAGTGGCACACAAGGAGAGAAGAGCGAGCACAACTAAACTGATTATTATTGTTGCTGTTGAGTTGACCCTTCTAAATAACAACAATTGTTGATCCCCCTCCTCGGGTTACAACTATATTTGTTTGTTCAACCAATGTGCTTCCCCCGGGGCTCGCATTCTGTTCTTTACAAGGGATAACGAAGGGTCACCAAACTGTACAGTCGGCCCCCAGTTCACAACGACAGCGGCTCCCGCCGGATACTTCCTCACAAGTTATAATCAATTCGCGTTCTCGCGCGGGATCTCCGCCGCATCTATATACATATTTATATATATATATATATATGGGCATCGCTCTCTCGCGTGGGATTTCCTCGCAATTGATTCAGACGGCGTGCCCTCGACACTCAAGAATCACGCTCTCCTTGTGGACGTCCTCACGATATACTTGGCAATCGCGCTATCGCTCTAGACTATCTCGCAACTCATGCAGGACGCACGCTTCAGCAACCCGCCTGCTCGACCTGGCCGCTCTCTCGTAATTACTTCACCCTCCTCCCTCCACCGTGTCCCTTTCCTCTTTCATCTGCCTTTGGGGCTGTACGCAATACACGTTGTAGGTAAGACAGATAGATTAACATATCCATTACACCAGAGAAAAACCCCAATCAATGGATGGATTTCGCTGAAAAGATTGACCGGGAACCGGGGAGCCCGGGAACCCAAAACGGTGCACCGAAATCGGCTCGGAACCAATAACCGGGAACCCGGGAACCCGGAACGGGAAACCCGGGAACCCAGCCTGCTATCAAAGTTGGCGGGAAACTTTCGCCAAATCTTTCAGCTTCCGCTAGGACCCCTTCGGTGCAAGCACCGATTGGGGAATAAAAGGGGGTACGATCGAAGACGAAGAGGGTGGGTGTCGAGGGCTTGGGATTTACATGTAGAATGGACCGCGGGCAGCAAAGAGCGAACAGTGTTGCAACGATTGTTGTTGTGTTTATTGTTATTGGTGTTCCTGCTACTGTCTCTCTCTCTCTCTCTCGTGCTCCATCCTCTTCGCTCCCCCTTGTTCCTTTCTTTTATCAACCCTCACTTCCCCTGCCTTAGGGGCTGCACGCAATACACGTTGCAGGTAAGAGACATATAAACCCACAAAGGGGTACAATCGAATATTGCGAGGGCGGGTATCGAGGCTTTGGGATACACGTGTTAAATTGCCCGCGAGCAAATAAGAGCGAACATAATTAACATGATCGTTGTTGGAATGATTGTCGTTGATCCCCCTTGCCTGGAAACTACTGTATTTTTCAATGTAAGTGCTCCTCCTGGGGCTCGCATCCTGTTCTGCACAAGGGAAAGAAAGCGACATGGCCAAACTGCGCCCCTGGACCCCGGTTTAGAACAACAGCGGCTCCTGCCTGACACTACATCACAGTGTATTCCCGAATCGCGCTGTCACGCGGGACGTCCTCACACTTTATACAGTAATCTCGCTCTCGCGTGGGACTTTCTCGCCATATATTCAGACACCGCGCCCTCGACACTCAGGAATCACGCTCTCGCTGTGGATTTCCTCACGAACTATGTGGGAATCACGCTATCGCTCGAGACTTCCTCGCGACTCATGCAAGAGTCACGCTTAAAAGCTGCCTGCTCGACCTGGCCGCTTGGGCCCACCTTTCCGACCCGCCTGTTAAGGTCTGGCCGCCCGTCTGGTTCTGCCACGTGTTTTCTGCTCCTGGCCCCCCTCCTGCTAATTCCGTGCTCCTTCCTCCTCCCTCCCCCTCGTCCCTTCCTTCCATCCGTCCTCTTTTCCCCTGCCTCAGGGGCTGCACGGAATATACGTTGCAGGTAAGAAATGTGTATTCCTCTTCCTATATTTTTATAAGCCCGGGCGGGGGGAAAACCCATCCCCCCCCCCCAAAACCGGACTCCCGGGATCTAGGGCTCGAGGACCCTCCGGGCGGGCCTCGAAGCGGCCCCCCGGGCCTCGCAGGGCGTTTCGCCAAGCCTTCCCAACACCCGAAGACGGCCCCAGACGGGTTCCAGGCGTTCCGGCGCGCTCCCGAAACGACCCCAGAGAGCCCCAATACGGTCCACGACGACGCCCACGAAGCCGTCATACCCCCAAAGATCGCTCCGAAACGTCCCAAGAGGCCTCCAAGAGCACTCCCAAGAAGGACCGAAGATGCAAAAATCTGTGATTTTCCATTGTTTAAAAAAATTGGGGTTCTCCTCTTTTCGGCTTCCCGACGCTCCAAGACGGCGGTCTTCTGGGCGTCCGAAGCCGGCTGGGAGGCTGCAAAATCTCAGTGGTGCCATTCTACTGGCGAAGCTTTTGACGACAAAACGCAATTCAAAAAATTAAACGTTTAATCGCAAAATGCTCGGTATAGCGTTGGACCAATCGCGGCTGACTGAACGCGAAAACGCGAGCGCCCGCGCGATGCTCCTCGCTGCAGACTGAAGCCCCGATGGGCACCACGATCGCAGCGTTTGGCGCGAAAGGGCGCGGACCGAATTGCCTGCCAATCGCGACGTTGCGATGAGGAACCGCTGCGCCAAAGACAGCGGCAGCGGTGCTACATCGAACAAACACCTTGGAGCAAGTATCATTGCGACAGCGACATCAAAGGCGCCATTACGTTCAAGGACACATTGGAGGTCGCGCAACCACGCGCGAACCCCACGCGGCACTACAGCGCGCAACCGCATGATGAACGCAATCTGCACAAGCCAACGCGACGCGCGTGCCTGCGCGCGCTAACCCACAACCAGTGGCTCGCACGTGCGCGCGCGCACGTTCGAGGGCGATGGCATCGCCAGAAGTCGCGGCGCGATGGCAACTGGCTGTGCAAATTTGCAGGTCGCCAGGCGCACTTCTGAATGTTCTTGGGGTCGCAAAACCATAATGAAAACCGCGCCGCGCATCCAAAGCGACGCGATCACGCGAGTAGGGCCGCCCGCGCACGGCAAGGCGCGAACGCAAGCCCAAGCTGGAAAAAAAAACAGCGAGGTATGGAATCGGATTGCAACGGGCGCTGGTTTTCAGGGCGCGCTAAAAACGCATCGCGCGTCGAAGCGCGACCGCCAACAGTCAGCTATGAGGCTGGGCACCCTCGCTGGGAACGGTCAGAACTCAAGAGCAGCGGCCAGGAATAGATGGGCGCCTCGAACGGCGGCGACAACAAAAAAACACATCCTCTCGTCGCCGCGCGGCGCAAGAAGCGGCGCAGTCGACCGCGCACGTCCGCACCGCGCAGATTAGCGCAAGACGCGACGCACAACGAAGGGATTGAAAGCCCGCTCGCGCGCGCACGCGCGCACGCCGCAAAGGCGGGAGCGCGCCTCCGCGGGCCTGCGCGCGTTCCGAAGGACCGACAGCGCGCGCCAGCGCAGCCTGCGCACTGGGCGTCGACCCACCGCGGAGACGACGTCGACGCAGAGGGTTCTGTGGAGCCAGAATACTTGAGCCAGAATGGTCGGATCCAAAATTGCAACAGAGGGGGGGGGGGGCGCCGGGGGCGGCGGGGGGGGGCAGGAGCGGAGGGTTTGGCGGGGCGGGGGCCGGAGGCGCAGCGGGGGGGCGCAGAGTAGAGCGCGGCGAGGGGGGGAAGGGGGTCGGAGGGGAAGGAAAGGAAGGCCGCCACCATGCTTTCGCACGCAGAGGCGCGTGAAAACGCTTCGCGCTTCCATTTGGGATTATTTCCAACGTTCTCTAAGGCGTATGACGTACTTGCAGTTCGACAGGACATGCAATCGCACCCCGTTTGGCGCGCGCAATGCGTCTGGTTAGTGTCATCGAGGCCACGGCCGTGCATAAGTGACACAACAGCCGCCCCGTCTCAACAACCATCTGTTTGATCGTTTCAACCCCCGCGCGTTCCAATCCAATGTTGGCCCTACGCTGCCCGACAAGTTCCAAAGCGGGCCCCGAGACGGCCGCGCGTGGCCCCGAGGCGGCGCAGGAAGACATCGCGACGGCCCCTTGGGGATCCCAGAAGGCGCGCCGCGACCAGCTAATCCTTTGATTCCGCACCGACAAGACCCACGAAGGACGCACGAGGCGGCGCAAACGCGCGCAAGGATATCCGAGGGCCCCCACCACAGCACCGAAAGACAAATACTATTGATCTATCCTTGATTATATTCAAGATGTGGAGGTCCGCACCTTTCGGGCTCCCTGGCGCCCCAGGGCGGCCTTCGAGGTCCCAAAAGACCACTCCGAGACGGCCAACGACCCCTCAGAAGACCGCCCGATTGTCGGAGAGGGCCCCGAGACGGCCCATAAATCATCATAGATTATCAAACGACGCCCACAGGCGGTCTCGAAAGGAGTCCGCGAATAGGAAAAGCTCTCAACCCGCGGCCGCCCAGGCGGCCCAAGAGCTCCGCAAGGGCGGCCCCCGCGCTGGTCCACAGAAGCCG